CCACCTATGGGGTGTCCAGATTCACCCAGTTCTTATCCTTGCTGTTTACTTCTATTCATCACAAGTAATTTAGGTTATTGAAGGTTCCAATATTGCATACGAGATTCAGCTCAGCTCAGTCCCGACGACGCTCTATTTGTTTATGGGTGATGGAGGTGAGGGCTTTGCTTCTGAACATTACCAAAACGCAAGCAGAACGCCGATGGTTATGCTAATTGTAAGAAAATGATGCACATTACAGACAGGTTGGAGGGTGTTTTAACTTTATATCCCATCTTGTCCAAGCCCGATCGATGAGATCGCCTTTCGCAAGTGCTCTGAACCCCGCTGAAATCCATTCCGAGCGGACTTCAGAACAGAATGGGTTTCCTTTGCAAAGGCACCGAAATGATGGAAACGGACGCTGGGGGAGGCCCTTAAGGTGCTTTCCGACCCTCAGTAAGACCCCTTTTTACGCGGTCTTCGATAAGGATGGAAAAAAATTTTGCAAGGGCCCCGAACCCGCGAAATCCATTTGAAACGGACTCCGAGGCAGAATGAAATCCCGTTTGCAAGTGCACCGACATGGGGGACGAGGATGGAAACGTTGCGGGGGGAGGGTCTCCGAGGGTAGCTGAGATGCTCCTTAAGCTGCTTTCCAACCCTCAGTAAGACCCCTTTTCACGCGGTCTTTGGTAAGGCTGGAATAATTCCGACTCTCACCGTGAACGTTCATCCATTTGGGGTTGGTTAATCGGTTCTGAACTCCTCCTGCAAAGTAAAGAGCTGACTGCGGCAACGGCTATCCTGCCCGTCTCCTGGTTAGGCTGTATCGCCTGCAGATGCCAGTGCGATTTTATAATAAATGTAAATCGTATCATAGAAATTGTTTGATCGACGTCAACAGCCTCACTCTTACGTTTCCCTTTTTGAAGGCCATACGAAGCAATCGGTGTTGTATGGTACGCGAGATGGAAAAATCGGACTCGTCGATGTGAAACCTAAAGACGGCGAAATTAAGTGGGAATTCGCCACGACGTCCGAAGGCGGTTGGTTTCTTTAGCATTGCTGTTGGTCCTGCATGAAAAGTTTTATTTCCTGATGGGATGTTCCAAGTTTTCCCCGTTGAGGAATTAACTACGGTCAAACTGCGATGACTCTTTTCCTTTACCAGCTGCTTCCAACGGTTCTCGCCCTGAAATATTCAAAGTAGAGGAACACAATAAGAGACTAGGCTACATGCACTTTGATCGTCTGCGCTTTCTAAGGCTTCAATTCCGGGCACTCGACTGAAGCGTTCCTTCTCACCGGGGTCGGTAAACTAGTCCTGAAGGATAGAAGCATTGGAATGTGCAATATTTGGCCCCATATGTAATTGTATGTACAACATTAGAAACCCTTTATAAACTCTATGACTCTGAATAGAAGCAGAATGCGTGGCCACATTCCAGGGAGGGTGTGCTGAACCTTGAAATTTCATCCCATTCCGTATGGGTGTCAGTGATCGCTCAGCAATGTGTCAGTCCATGAGTTCTGATAATGCTTATCAATTCAGGAATCACCGCCATCAAGTGTTACCCGTTCACTGAATCCGATTACCCAGATATTCTGATCGGGAAAGATGACGGGGTACTGGAGATTTATACAGTTGACAGCGAGGATCGTGCCACCCTTGCACGGATTATATGTGAGTTACTTGGATTTGTTTCTATCAAAAGAGATCTGGCGGAAAGCCCTATTTTGATTTTTTATTGAGACAGTGTTCATAGTTCGCGACGGCAAACAGTCGCTCATCTTCCGGCTCAAAAATCAATACCTATCTAAATCATTCGCGAGTTCCACGAATACCAGGGGAGTTGCAAACTCTGAGTGCAGCCTCGATTTTATTACCTAAAATGCTGAATTCTCTTCAAAAAGGTTCATCAAGGAATGTGGCACAGTTGTTAAGCACTTCAGTTTCAGCACTGCGATGAATCGATCACAGGACTTGACTGTGGACGAGTCACTTCCGAGGATGAGAATGAGATTATCATCTGCACCTATACAGGTACATAAACACGTGCTGTGTGGGAAGAGCTTCAGAAGGTCACCATTCGTTACGATCCAAAGGCCCATTCCGCGGCTATCGGAGGGGCGGAGCCTCTTAGGTCATTACGCTTTTCTCATTTGTGCGCTGTTCCTCCTCACCATTCAGGAACGAATATCCCACCAGTGAGAAGAGCGCACTTGTCCAAGGGATTCCACCAAAACGACCTATGATGTTAGAATGGGCTTCTTCTGTACCCCCCAGT